ATATTCACGATCTCCATGTTAGAGATTACATATCCTTAAAAATTAAGTTAAAAAATCCCATCTCAAAAATAGATTTATTAAGGGGCCTGCATTTATAATTGTGCAGGCTTGGCACGCATGCTAACCGCGTCTTAGAAGAAAATGTAACAAATCATGGTTATAGATCTCGAGATAGCTAAGAGTATTATCAAACTCGAATAATAGAGTTGAAGTCACAAACAACTTATGAGAGCAGACATTAGGCTTATGACATTGTATCATCAAAAAGTGGCATATTCTCATGGTTAAGATCAGCTGTAATTAGCTATTAACAACAGTGAGTAAATCACCAGTTTTCTCTCATGAATTCTTTTTTTTAGAGAACTTCGAAGAACAATTCATTTGCAGTCAATTCGATCATCAAATAACTGAGTAACAAGATCACAGGATTGTGATCTTGAGGTTCACAGTAAACAACAGTGATGCTTATTAATGTCATAGCTCATCCACAAAATTCATCAATCACCATGATCAATTAATAATGTTGATCATATGGTCTCGTCCTTGATCATCTAGGATAATTTACTTCAATTTGCAGATCCAAAATCTCATTCAAAATCGAAAAAATCAACAGCGTCACAGTGTAGACGCTGTTGTTTATTCCTTCTGCAGTGAACTGCCTACACTTATTGAGTTTGACCTATAAGTAAAACTTTATTGAAGATCTTGTAAATAGATAAAAGAATATCATAATGAATAGCTTGAAGATAAGATCTTGTAAATAGATAAAAGAATATCATAACGAATAGCTTGAAGATTATATGATCATAACCTGATCGTTTAATTTAATTTCGAAGAATTTTCCCTGAAACAGAGTCGCCTCTGCTTCGTTTTCATGCTGCTGTAACAATAGCAGAAAACTTGTTCTTATGTTTATCGAATTGATGATCCAATTCATAAAAAACATGATCAAAGCTTCATTAGAAATTTTCTGGATGATCTCTGGTGCAATTGATCAAGATTCAAAATGCTTTCTTATAAAAAATTACAGAATACTACGTTGTTTTTGTGATGCTAAAAAAAACGGCAATGATATTATTATTATGAGATTAAGCTTCAATTTTGAATTGATATTGGAGTCTATCAAATTATCAAGTTGCTGCAATATAGAGATGT